AATTTTACTTGTAGATATTGCATGATATTGTTCGATACTGTCCACATTCTGTTGAACCACCTTTCTTTGGAATAGGCAGCAATATGGATCACTTCCAATCAGTTAGCCAGGTAACTCCTGTCTTCCAACTTGTTTGACATGGATGAATGAGTATGTCCGGGGCTGCATTCATTTGTTGAATCATGTCAACTGGTATTCTATAAATTCCTGTAGCCTTGTTTCTCACCACTGTATTCAATGCAATTTAGACTTCTTCCTTCCATACCATTGGTTCTTGATTTTATGGTACCTCCTGAAATGACTGAACATGGACCATATCTTTTTGGCACAGTGACTCTGAGTATTACTTCTATCTTTTTTTTGATGCTTCCCGTGTCGTTGAATATTTTTACCATAGAATTCTTCAATATTGCAATTCGAGTCTTAAACGTTTTCTTTGTTCTTTCAGCTTTTGAGAAATGCTGAGTGTTCTTCACCTTTGATTTTCTAACTCCAGGTCTTTGCACATTTCATTATGATACTTGACTTTGTCTTCTCAAGCTGACCTTTGAAATTTTCTATTCAGTTCATTTACTTCCTTTTTTTTTTTCTCTCCAGTAGCTTTAGCTTATCTATGCTCAAGAACAAGTTTCAGAGGCTCTTTTTATTTTCAGGGTTTTATTTTGTTTTGTCTGTTTGTTTTGTTTTTATTGCGAATTGAATGATAGTTTACATGTGAGAACATCAGTTTTACAGTCATCCTATCATATTTCATTGCATTGTAATTATTACAATACCCTCCATGCATCATCATTCAACAATATTGCTTCTATTCCCTCTGTTTTTTGGGGGGAGTGGGGAATTGAATGTACACAAAAACACTCAGGAATATATAATCATTTAAACAACCAACCAAAGGGCACATTCTGCAAGCCTGCCTCCTGGCTGCCAGCACACAGCCTTTCTCTTTCCATGAGTCTGGAGTCCTCAGCTGCTCTATCTCTCCATGGCCTCATGTCTGCCTCCATCTCTGGTGTTGCTGCTTTTCTGGATAGGGTTCCACATTCTGTTCATGTTCTTCCCCCTTGATGGTCCTAGGGTTCTCTGTTCCCGGACTGTAAGATTAACTACTCCCCTCTTTATGTTACAAAACTTCTACCTTTACAATTGTGACAGTCACAATTAGTCATGATAACAATTACTCACTATTAAATCATAAGAATCTTATCCCCATCTCCTTTCACCAGACCTGTCTATACAAGATGAAAACTATTCAGTGGGGACTCTACCTTCCCCTGTATAAACTAAATTCCCTCATGACTTCCATTTTGATCATTTCTTTCTTTTCTGTCTTTTTAATGACTTTTTGCTTTCTCTATGTATGATGTCCTTGATGTCATCCCACAGCTCATCTGATGTTCATTCATTAGCATTCAATGTGTCAAATCTCTTCTTGGACTCTAAATTCAAGTAGAATTTACTCAAGGTCATATTTGGGCTCTTATGAACCTGTTTTAATTCTCTTCAGTTTCAGCTTGAACTTAGATATGTGCAATTGATGATCTGTTCTGCAATTGACTCCTAGCCCTGTTCTGATGACAGTTAGGTACCATCGAGTCAGTTCTGACTCACGACAACCCTATGCACAACCGGATTAAACAGTGCCCAGTCTTGTACTATCCTCATAACTGTTCCTATTTTGGGGCCCATTGTTGCAGCCACTATGTCAATTCTACTTGTTGAGAACTCTGTAGGACCGAGTAAAACTGCCCATAGGGTTTCTGAAAATCTTTCCAGAAGCAGACTGATACATCTTCCTCCCCAGGAACAGATGGTGGATTCAAACCTCTGACTTTTCAGTTAGCCCTCAAGCGTTTAACCACTGTGCCACCAAGGTTTCTTCCTGTAAAGATTACAACCTAGGAAACCCTATGTGGCAGTTCTACTACAGCACATGGGGTCACTCTGAGTTGTAATTGACTCAATGGCACACAACAATAGCAACTCCACTTCTTGTTGTGTTCTCCTTACACAGGGTCTTTCTTTGCTCTATCACCACTTTCTAGTTTTTTTTGGCCCAATATCAACATCCTCATTCTTTTCATGGGCTGATTTATACTACTACCAAGGAAATAATCTGGTTAAACAATATCATATTGAAGCAAAAATTATTTAAGGTGAGGAATATTTTTTTGAATTTTCATGAACTTAAAGTAGTGGTCTTCAACCCTGCCTGCACTGAGAAGCATACTTTTGCTGGGACCCCACCATGTTGTTGTTAAGTGCCATCAAGTCAATTCCGACTCAAAGCAATCCTGTACGGGGTTTCCGAGGAGCAGTTTGTGAATTTGAACTGCCCCCACCTACTCAATCAGAATCTCTGGGGTGGCGCTCTGGCACTAGCCACTTTTTAAAAAAGTTTTCCACATAATTCTAGTGTACAGCCAGAGTGAGAACCATTGGCCTAAAGGAATGAATCTCTGATGAAAGGACAATAACATGTACACTTATTACCACTCTGCCTCAAAAGGGCTGTGGGTAGTGAACACCTAATTCTAACTTTTCTCAGTCTGATAGTCCTAAGAGCTTCAAACTTAAATTTACTTAGCATTTCACGGTAGGGGCCAAAATGTCATTTCAAAGTATATTATTTAGAATGGGTGGGATTTGAAACACTCATGGAATGTAAACTTGCAGGAGACACTGGGCTTCATGAAGATTTGTACTATATTACAAAGTTATTCTATTAAATATGTTAGCCCATTTCTGGTATGTCTTCCCTGAAAATGGTTTTATATCTTGAAAAATAATGCCATGCTCTGCTTTGAAAATACCAAACTGTATTATGAAGTAATCAGAGTCACACTGATTGCTTAACATTATAGCATCTTGTAGGCAGGAACTGGAAGCAGACTGCTGTAGTTCCTGGAACTCAAATCTCTTACCTTCACATTCACCTAATGATCATAATTAAGGTTCAATGCTGGAGACACTTAACACTCAAAAGGTTCTTCTGGTTATATGCCGGGCTTAAACTGGACTTTTCTCTAACAAGCCCGTTGTTATGTTAAGGAAATGACTTGAACCAGGACTAATCCTCGTAGTAATCAGTCTGACAAGTCATTTCTGAGCTATCTCTCCTATAGTTGTGGAATGGCTGCTAAGAGACAATGAGCAATATTCCCACCAATCTCTGTCACTTTCCAGGGGAAGGGAAACTGGAGAATTTTTTAAGGGACTAGGGAAAAATCAAAACCAAGTGTCACAATGGTATGCCATACTTCTAAGTTGAAAAGGTCTGATTCAAGAGGACCAGAAAGTGTGCATCCAAAACGCCACCCAGCATGCCCTGAAAATGGTAGCTTCACTGGGCCAGTCCTTTGCTTCAAATGTTGTTCATTGTCTCTGCATAAATCAACTTGGAACTAAAACTTCCCTTGGAAGGGTGAGCATGTAAAATTTAGGTTTATTGTTGCTGTTGTTAAGTGCCATTGAGTCGGCTCTGACTCATAGTGATCCTGTATAGGGTTTCCAAGGAGATAGTGGGTTTGAACCACTATCCTTGTAGTTAGCAGTCCTACTGCTAATCCTACAATACCATACCAGGTATGTTGTTGCTGTTAAGTGCTATTGAGTCAGTTCTGACTCGTAACGCCCCTGGATAAGACTTCCAAAGAGCATCTGGTGAGTTTGAACCACCGACCTTGCAGTTCAAACTGACCTTGCAGTCCAGTGCTTATCCTACAGCACCACACCAAGACTCCACACCAGGTATCTAGCCTTCTCATTTTTGTTTTGTGTTTTTCATTTATCAGTGAAGTCACCGCCATTTCCAATGGCTATGTGGCACAGGAAGAGAAGTTTGTATTTAGTGGGGAAGCATTTTTGAGTGCAGAGAAGACAGTATCTCAGTGGGATGTAATGATACAAGAACACCAGGCCCCTATGAAGGAAAGTATCCAGAATGGGGTCAAAACCAAACCTCCCTCAGGGTCTAAGACAAAAAAGGAACCATAAGAGCACCTCTCTTCGGACAACTATTATCACTCCACTTATATGAAATATCTAGGATGGGCAAATGTATAGAGACCAAAGCTGATTAGTGGTTACCAAGGTTAAGTGAGGAGCCCTGGTGTGGAAACTATTAAGCCCTTGGTTGCTAACCAAAAGGTTGGTAATTCAAACCCATACAGAAGCTCTGAGGGACAAAGACCTGACTATTTGCTCCTGTAAAGATCACCACCTAGAAAATTCTATGGGACATTATGAGCAGAAAATGACTTAGTGACTCACAACAACAATAGGGATGCGGGGGAAAGGAAAGGGGGGAGTCACCGCTTAGGGGAGACTAAGGAGTCCTGGTTTGGTGCTGTAGGATAAGCACTGGACTGCAGGGTTGGTTTGAATCGAAGATCGGTAGTTCAAACTCACCTGCCGCAACTCGGAAACCTTATGATCATTATGAGTCAGAACTAACTCAACAGCACTTAACAACTTAACAAGCATTTGCTAATGTGTTGGAAAGTTTGGCAATGAATACTGGTCATGTTGAAACAACATGATTAAGGTAATCAGTGTCACTAAATTTAACATGCAAATTTAAAAGAATGTTAAATTGGCAAATGTGCTATGTATGTATATTTTTACCACAATTAAAAAAGAGCACTCCTAAAGGAAAAAAAAAAAAAAAAACACTCTGTTGGCTGGTCTTCAACAATGAGTCTCCAAAGGAAAAAAAGGATGAGTGGCTACAGTTGTCCTTGATACCACGCCTGCCCACTCAGGTACTGGTACCCAAAGACATTTGTTACCACAGATTTCTGTGTACCTTTATTTAGTCCATAAAACAATCTCTGCTGAAGCAGGGTCGTTTGGGAGTCATGAGTTTTTGAAAGAGAGCAAACACATAAAGGAATTGGAGGGTGACGTGCAATCCTAACGTGCAAGGATAGGAAACCTTGTGGAGATTGTAATTTCTTTCTTTGAAGCCATGTTTAAACCTCAGCCAGGAGAACACTTACTGTGAATTCTGTCTGCCTGGCTCTGGAGAGCTTTAAAACTGCTATGGCTGTCTTGTCCTGTGGTCAGGACGACCCCTACAGGCAGGCCGTGGTTCAGAAGGGCATTTGCAACCCAATTAGCTGTATGCGCCCAAATGTTTTTATCTGAGGACATGACTCAACCATAAGCCCACTAGAAATATCTCATGACGGTTACCAGCACTTGGATTGGAGAAAGGAGAGTCCAAGGAAAGGTCAGGTAGCTATTTTTATTGTTTAATTCATAATTCACACCGGCCCCAAGAGAAAATCCCTTTGTCCCAGCTGTTTCTGAGGAGGGAGGTCCAATAAATCCTGAGGCCATCTGGTGGTGGGAAATGGAACTGAAGAGGGCCCTGGAAGTCTGGCCACCCTCACTGACAATCACCTATTCAAAAGAGTGGCCCACCGGGGCTGATGAAAAGAGATGGGGATAGGACTCTTGTGGTACAATAGCGAATAATTGCTGTCAGGACTGACTGTGAGGGTCAGAAATGTAAAGGTAGATGTTTTGCAACAAAAGGAGGGGAGTTGTTGACTTTGCAGTCCAGGAGTGGAGGTCCCTGGGACTATCAAGGGAGAAGAGCAGAATGTGGGACCCTACCCAGAGAAACAGTGATGCCAGAGATGGAGGCAGAGACGATGACGTGAAGAGATGGAGCAGCTGGGGACGCTAGACCCACAGAGGGAGAGGGACTGTGTGCTGATGACCAGGGAGCAGGCTTGCAAGGTATATACCCTTTGGTTGGTTGATGATGCATGGACGGGATTATAACTATAGGATTGTAACGATATACGACAGGATGAATGTAAAGCTAATGTTCTCACATGTAAACTATCACATAATTCACAGTAAAACATTATAAAAGTAAAAAAAAAAAAAAAAAAGGTGATCCAGATCCAGCTAACTGAGCAGCAACCTCAGGCAGAGCTTTTGAGGAAAAAAAGGATCACAAGTCCAGAGGCCTGCCACACGAACCTTGTAGGGAGGGGCCCATACCTGCTGCAGGAGGGACATGAGGGCCAGAAGGTACAAGCACCACAGGAGCTTGGAGGCTGCAAGGCCATGCTAATGGTATCCTGGCTGTTTGCTGGTAGCCACGAACCAGAGCATAAGGTGAGAAAAAGGCCAAGGTCCCAGGAATATAGCCTTCCTGCTTCGAGCAAGGTAATGAAGGAATACCGGAGGCTTATTCTCTTGTTCCGAGGTAGACAATGGTGTTTCCAAATGGCTGTCAGTCGGAGGAAAATGTTTGTTATTCATATAATTTCTGAAGTTTCTGGAAACATTCGTTATGAAAGAATGACAGTTGCCCAATCCTTGGAGTTAAAATCATGAGGTCTTATACAGACAGATATTACACAATCCAATATCCGTTGCAATGTTACAAACTAGAAATAAGGAACCTCCCATGCTAGCTCTGGTAGTGTTGTTGTCAGGTGCCATCGAGTCGGAACCGAATCATAGCGACCCCATGCACAGCAGAATGAAACAATGTCCGATCCTGGGCCAACCTCACTACTGCTGCCACACTTGACGCCATCAATGACACCACCTGGCTGATCCATCTCATTGGAAGTCTTCCTCTCCTTCTCTGACCCTCCATCTTACCCAGCATGACATCCTTCTCCAGCGACTGTTCCCTCCTGACAATATGTCCAAAGTATGAGAGACAAAGTTTAGCCATCTTGGCCTCCAAGGAGCGCTCTGGCTGCACTTCTTCCAAAACAGATTTATTCGGCAGTCCATGGAACTTTCAGTATTCTCCTCCAACACCACAATTCAAAGGCATCAATTCTTCTACGATCTTCCTTATTCACTGTCCAGCTTTTGCATCCATATGAGGTTATTGAAAATACCATGGCTTGGGTCAGGCGCACCTTAGTCCTCAAGCTGACATCCTTGCTCTTCAACACTTTAAAAAGTTCCTGTGCAGCAGATTTGCCCAATGCAATACGTTGTCTGATCTCTTGACTGCTGCTTCCGTGAATGTTGATAGTTGATCCAAGAAGAATGAAGTCCTTGACAACTTTAATCTTTTCTCCATTGATAAGAATGTTGTTTATTGGTCCAGTGGTGAGGATTTTTGTTTTATTGACATTGAGATGCAATCCATACCGAAGGCTGTGTTCTTTGAACTTCATCAGTAAATGTTTCAAGTCCTCTTCACTTTCAGCAAGCAAGGTTGTATCATCTGCATATCGCAGGTTGTTAATGAGTCTTCCTCCAATCCTGACGCCATGTTTTTCTTCATAGAACCCAGCTTCTCGTATTCTTTGCTCAGCATACAGGTTGAATAAGTATGGTGAAAGAACACAACCTTGTTTCATACCTTTCCCAGTTTTAAAACATTCAGTGTTCCCATGCTCTGTTCGAACAACTGCTTCTTGGTCCAGGTACAGATTTCTCAGAAGTACAATTAAGTGTTCTGGAATACTCATACTACTCAATGTCTTCCATAGCTTGTCATGATCCACACAATCGAAAGCCTTTGCGTAGTCAATAAAGCATAGGTAAACATCTTTCTGATAGTCTCTGCTTTCAGCCAAGATCCATCGGACTTCAGCCATGATATCTCTCGTTCCACGGCCTCTTCTGAATCCAGCTTGAACCTCTGGAAGTTCTCTGTCAATGTATGATTGCAGCCATTTCTGTATTACCTTTAGCAAAGCTTTACTCTCTTGAGATAGCAAAGAGATTGTCCAATGATTTCCGCATTCCGTTGTTTACGAATCGGGCTGCAAGCCTTAAGGTCAGCAGTTCGAAACTACCAGCCGCTCCGCAGTAGAAAGATGAGGCTTTCTGCTCCCGTAAAGATTTACAGCCTCGGAAACCCTGTACAGGGTCACTATGGGTCGGAACCAACTCGACGGCACTTAACAACAACAACATGCTAGCTCAGAGAAAGACTTGTTCCTAGAGTACCCTGGCTTTCTGTTGTTTTTTTTCAATGACAAAGAAAAGACTGAGGCTGCGGAAGGCAGAGTCAGTACTGAAATTGAGAGATTCTTTCTCCACATCAACACCCTTCCTCTACCTGCCCACTTGCTTAAGTCAGAAACCTGTGAGTCAATGGACATTCTTCCTCCTTTGCCCAGCTTCGGTACCTTGGGGGTAGTGAGAGGGACATCAAGTACTTATAACAGGGTCTGCCATGTTGTTAGCATTATATTAATGGTATTATTATCATTACTGTTTTTAATGTGTCCATTTTCCTCCACCCACACTGCCTGGAAAAATGAAGGTGTAAACATACAGTGACTAAATTAGAATAAGAAGTGCTATGGTAATCCAGAGGAAGATAGAAAAGGTAGCCTAAACCCAGTTTTAAGGAAATAAGGAGGAGGGAAGAGGAGAAAGACCTCCCTAGTTTAAGTACTGAAAAAAAGAAAGAAAAAAAGAGTCAGGTGAATGGGTCAGGAGAGGTCAGAACTATGAGCCTTCCAGAGAGAAGGAACAGCATACAGAAAGATTAGGAGGTAAAATAAAGGAAGTTATTGTTGTTGTTGTTGTTGTTAAGTGCCGTGAAGTTGGTTCCAACCCATAGTGACCCTGTAGTTTCCGTGGAGCAGTTGGTGAGCTTGAACCGCCGACTTTGCAGTTCAAACTGACTTTGCAGTCCAGCACTTTAACCCACAGTGCCCCACCAGGATGCCAAAGGAACACATTATTGTTGTTATGTGCCATGGAGTCGGTTCCGACCCATAGCGACCCTGTACAGGGTTTCCGAGGCTGTAAACCTTTACAGGAGCAGAAAGCCTCATCTTTCTCCCGCGGAACAGCTGGTAGTTTCCAACTGCTGACCTTGAGGTTCACAGCCCAATTTGTAACCACTATGCTACCAGAGCTCCTGAAAGGAACACATTAGATGCTTTGGAATTCCTAGACTCTAAAGGAACGCATTAGAGTCTAGGAATTGCAAGGCATCTGTTCTGCCTGAGTCTGTGATATGAGGCAAGGAAGAGGCCAAATCACTAAGAATCACATTGTTGTTGTTATTGTTAAATCCCATTGAGTCAGTTCCGACCCATAGTGACCCTATATAAGGTTTCTGAGGAGCAGCTGGTGAGCTTGAACTGTCGACCTTGCGGTCCAAACCAGCTTTGCAGTCCAGCACACTAACCCACAGCACCACACCAGGAGTCTGAGAATCCTATAGAACTTTCATACGTTTTTAGATTTAGTCCTATATACAATGATTGATAGAAGGTTTTAAGCAGTGAAATGGCATAATCAAATGTTCATTTCTCAAAAATAACTCTAGCAGCAATGGGGAGAACGAGCTGCAAAGGGCCAAGACTAAAGGAAGAAAGGCCAACCTGGATGCTGTTGTAGTTAGTAATCAATATGAGAAGTGACAATAAACCAAGAGAGTGGTAGTGAAGATCAAGAGCAGGGGTGGGGAACCATCTAAGAGCCGCAAAATCCTTTGGTCTGGCCCTGCTAAGGCAACTGCAATTCCAACCATCACATTAGGATTGAGTTAATGAAATGTTTGACTAAATATAGCTGGCTTATTTTTAAATTGATAATTCTGTATGACCCACAAATGATATAAATTTAATCAGAAACAAGATTCCCCACCCCTGGTCTAGAGTAAAGGAGATGAATTCCACCAAGACTACAGAAGTGCAACCAGAGTGCTCCTTGGAGGCCAAGATGGCTAGGCTTCGTCTCTCATACTTTGGACACATTGTCTGGAGAGAACAGTCGCTGGAGAAGGATGTCATGCTGGGTAAGGTGGAGGGTCAGAGAAAAAGAGGAAGACCCCCAACCAGATGGATCAGCCAGGTGACATCATTGATGGCGTCAAGTGTGGCAGCGGTAGTGAGGTTGGCCCAGGATCAGACATTGTTTCGTTCTGCTGTGCATGGGGTTGCTATGAGTCAGTTCCGACTCGATGGCACCTGACAACAACAACAAAGAAAAGAGAATCGACAAGAACCAGTAGACTGACTAGATGTAGGACGTAAAGCTAAAAATGACATCAAGATGATTTTGAGTTTTACAGAATCTGAAAAACTGGTTGGCAAATGGTACAAGTCTCAGCAATTGGAAGCGTTGAATTGGTGCTGCCTGTAAAACATACAGCAATCCCTGGGTCCACCCAGAGGTGCCTCTGAAGAAAGCCTTGGACACATATTTCCAAAACATCGGTCATTGAAACCCCTATGGAGCAGAGTTTACAATGACATACATGGGGTTGCCATGAATAAGAATCGACTTGATAACTACATTCATGGGAAGAGAGGGACTGAGAGCTGGTGGCCAGGAAGCAGACTTGCAGAATGTGCCGTTTGGTGGTGTAAATTATTATATCTGCCTGGGTGTTAAAAACAACAACAACAAACAAACAAAGAGAGCTAAAGTGAATACAGAGAAATATTGTTAACTGATGGTACATGGAGGGGATTATACTCATCGTAATGAAACAAGGTGTATGAGTTGTTGAATGTGAAACTGATGATCTGCCCTATAAACTTTCACTCAATTCATTATAAAAAACCTTTAAAAAAAAGAAAAAGTAAAAAGAATCACCCTAATAGCAACTGGTTGGTTGGTAGCATATACAAGTGGCAATGACTAGTAGACAATTTGACATACTGGAACTTATCATAGAAAGCTGACCTAGAGATATAAATTTGAGAGTAATCAATTTATACAAAGCAATTGAAGACGTGACAACTAAGGAAATTTGTGAGGTACCAAAAGAAAGGCGACAACAAAACCTTCAAAGCCCACAATAGACAGGCAGAGAAGATAACTCACAACCAAATCTTACATACATGGAAAGTTCGGAGGAAACAGCAAAACCCAGGAGATCGTGTTGTCTTACAATTCAAGGAAAAATTGAAGATAGAAAAGTGATTTTCAGTGTCAGATCCTACTGAAAATGTAAGTAAGGTACAGATAGTAAGGTGTCCATTGCATTTGGATTTAGAGAGTAAGCTATAGCTTATAAGTTGGGGGACCACAATGAATGAATGCAAATTAATGAAATGGAGTTAATAAGTGTGGAGACCAAAACAAAAACAAAACCCCACCACCATCAAGTTAATTCCAACTCTTAATGACCCTGTAGAATAGAGTATAACTGTCCCATAGGATTTTCAAGGCTGTAAATCTCTATGAATACAGACATCTTTCTCCTTTGGAGTGGCAGATGGATTGAAACCATCAACCTGTCAGTTAGCAGATGAGTGCTTTACCACTGCATCACCAGGGCTCCTAAGTGTAAATAACTCTTTCAGCATAAAACATGC